ATGGGCTCAAAGAGGGGGTTCATGTTGGGGTACTACAGCTGGGTTACGTCCGGGTGTTCATGGGGGCCCCCCTGGTGTGGGTCCCCATATTGGGCCCCCCACCCCAGTTGGTGTTGGGGGGGGGCCCCCTGGGGTGGGGGGGCCCCATGGGGGCCCCCATGGGGGCCCCCGCAGACGACATGTACCCTATAGAGAAAGTAAACTAACACGGCTGCTCGGGCACTCTCTTGGGGGCAGGGGCCTCGCCGTACTCATCATATGCTGCAGCCCCCAGAGCAGACACCAGCAGGAGACAGTTGCTTCTCTACGTTTTGGTGATAGGGCCTCGCAGCTAGTGAATCGTCCTGCTGCTGCGGCACATATATCTGCTGCTAGTTTAAGAGAACAACTAATAGAAACACAACAAACACTAAGAATGTATGAGGCTTGTCTTCGGTCTCTACGTGTTGCTGTCGGCAGACAGCAGCAGGCTATAGGCGTGCNAGAATGTATGAGGCTTGTCTTCGGTCTCTACGTGTTGCTGTCGGCAGACAGCAGCAGGCTATAGGCGTGCTGCAGCAGTATGTACCCCCGGGGGCCCCCGTATCCAACCAACAAATTACGCTGCTTAGGAGAGCAGCAGCAGCAGCAAGAGAAGCTATACTTGCTGATGCTGCTGCACATCTATCAGGGGGGCCCCCACTACCACCGTACCCTACAAATACACAACAGTATAAGGGGCCCCTAAATAATAAAATCAATCCTAAAATGAATGCAGCAGCAACGCCAACTCTACAGCCACCAACAGCAGCAGCAGCAGCAGCAGCAGCAGCAGCAAATGCTGCAGCAGCAAACACTGCAGCAGCAGCTGATGAAAGAAGACGCTCACAGTCCTGCCCCCCACCAAGGGGGCCCCTCAACACAGCAGGACCCAGGGGGGGGCCCCCGGGTAGTACCCTCGCAAGAGATAGAGAAAGAAATGGGGGGCCCCCGGGGGCCCCTGGGGCCCCAGGGGCCCCCAGGGCCCCTCGTACCTCTCAAGCAGCAGCAGCACGAGCCAGAGGAGCTGCTGCTGTTGCTGCAGCACAGAGAAGAAAGGCAACAGAGATGGAGAGACAACGCAACATAGAAGCAGCAAGAAGAGCAGCAGCAGCAAGACAAGCACTCAGGGCCAATGGGATGCAGCGGAATGCAGCAGCAGCAGCAGCAGCAACAACAGCAGCAGCAACACCACCACCACCAACAGCAGCAGCAGCAGCAAGAGTGCCAACACCAGAGGAACCTCCAGCTGCTGAAGCTGCTGCAGCAACAGAACCAACGCCTGCAGCAGCAGCAGCA